CAGTGATATCAATCTCCCTTTGGTTACCAGATTGTATGAAAAGGTGCACAGCGATCGAATGATGCGCAATACTATAGGCGAATGGAAACAAAAAAGATTTAAAACAAAGATAATCCCACCACTAGGAGATGGTTTGTCCTTTCTTGACAGCATAACTCATCACATGCTTTTTGAATTTCCATTATCATATGTCAAATCTTGCTTGAATAGCTCCATTCATGATTTTTCTCTTTTGCATTCATCATTAAACACACATCACACAATGTAAGAGCACAGTAATGTAAAAGTTTTAGTTAATGACACCATAAAGGCATCAATACTGAGAACATTTCACTTTTCATCAAGTCACATGATAATACAAAGAGAAACAAGCAGAACTTTTTTATTACTCCCAGAATCATTACATACTTTATTCAACAAGTAAGAGAGCAAAAGCACACATATGTCGACCAACGGCAGCTATTCGACAACACTACACCAAATCTCTTCTCAGATCGCCCTGTATATTGACTTTTCCACTCTCATATTTGGTATAATTGGTGGTATTTGTAATCTCATTACACTCACTAGTCGACAGATGCGTCAGTCTTCATCTGTGGTCTATTTATTATGCGCCACTATGTTTCAGCTACTCGCTGTTATATTCTGCGTTCCAACTCGTTTCGCTACTATTCAATATGGAAGTACGTTAGACAGTCGATCAGTTGTGAGAATGAGATGAGTAAGAAAAGCAAACGTTTTTACTTTATTTTTATAGAGAGGTTAATTTTATTGCGACATCATTTATTTTATTTTCAGAAGAAGACTAAACCCACTATGAATTTCGTCCATGCTCTGCCGACATCGGGAATTAAAACTAAAATAATTAAACAGGGAACAAGTTCACTTTATGGGGAACTTAAGGAATCCAGATTTTGACTATTCCATCGTAAAGAGCATCACTTAAAACCTATACATTGACAAAAGAAACTTGGCGGTAAACACTCGAAACCCACAAAAAATTCAATTTACTCTCATTAGTGCCTGAGGCGGACCAAAGGCAAAAATTTTTTTCCTGCTAAATATACATCATTGAACTCAGTTTCGTACGTAGATTACGATGTAACAGTGTGGCGGGCTGTATCCTAACCATGTGTTTATCGCAGTAAGACTACAAGCAGACTATCGGAACACATTGAAATAAAAGATATTATCTTAATCAGCTGCGACATAAATATAATCTTCCAAAATCTCTCAAAAGATGTTGTAAAAAAGAACGATGGTCAGGAGACAACCATTAATCTTGATGATATTGATTCAAAGTTGCTCGTCAATATTCTCCAACCGGTTCTCAATGCTCGTCTGGAAAAACGTTTGTGTGATATTGAAGAAAGATTAAAACAAGTTGAACGTGATATAGCTGGTAATAACGAACGAGTGGACGAAATGGAAAGATATAATAGATCATTCAACCTTCGCTTTCTAAACGTGCCGCCTGCGAGAAACGAAGATCCTGTTCAGTTAGTGATAAATGTAGCGTATGAAATGGGAATTGAAATCGATTACGATTCAGTTGAAACTGCTCACCGTATCCCGGCTAAACAGAAGAAGTTAGGTGCTCTGAAATATCCACCAGTATTAATAGCAAGATTTCATTCTCGACCGATTCGTCGTCAAGTTTTATCTTCAAAAGGAGCTTTGTCTCAACTACATGCACAACATACATTTTCAAAACTGGAAATATCTGATGATCTATCACGTCACAACCTTGAAATCTTCTCAGCAGCGCGAGCAAAATTAGATAAAGGCGAACGTCACCGAATATATTCCAAACGGGCGTGTATTCTATTATGCAGTTGCTGGGAAACGTATTCATTTCAATTCCGTTAATAGTATCGATGCGATTTCCTATCAGACACAGATTCAGAATCCAGCTCAAACTGATTCAACGAGCTCACAACTTGGGTAAATAGAATATGACTCATTATTGACACTGTTAAGTTTAAAAATGCTCATAGTGTTTTTTTCTTTCTTCCTTTCCTTTAGTTTCTTCCTTCTAGTTAAACTACTGTTGATAGTGTATAGGTTGACAATCTTTGCATCATTCGTCATAGGCATGACTACAAACACAAAACATTTTTTTACTCT